TCCCTTTCCCTCCCCACCCACACGCACAAGTCTGTTCTTGTCTGATAATCAACATCTTCTGAAGAGCATTAAGCCAGTCCCATTTATTTCTAGCAAGATTATGCTGGTGGCATTTGAGAGGGATCTAGTTTTCTCCTTCCCCAGCTTGGTTCCCTTTATTGTTCAAACCTCAGCCACAAGACACCGACATGGTTTATATTTATCATTTGGACCGCAGCAATGATCAAGACTTTGATTTGGGCTAGGATCCACTTGCACCAAATATACAGGAGAATAAAAAGACTGTCCTTGGCCCAGGTGATTTGGCATCAACTTTCACTCTCCACTTCATCCAATGTTAGAGTGCTGAAGTTCCAAAAAAAGCATGGAGAAGTCATAAATGCCGACATTTCTTCTTTGTATTTTGCTGCAGGTAACTACAAGACCTAATATTTGGCTCTATAGTACAAGGAGCACATTAGAAGCCTTAGCATAAATGCCTCCATCTTGTATACATCCTGCATTAAATAAAGATAGAAACTGCACGTTGCTGCTGGAAGCCTGTAACTCAAATAATACAAATTCCCAGTAAATCTTGTCCAAAGACAGGCTTGCAAGGCCAGATTCCATGCTTCTGCTGATTTAAAGAGGAAAACATTAACTAAGTGCTTAATCATGGTAATATAAAAATATGTAATAAGACCCCAGCGCTCTTTCCTGCCCAGGGCAGGGGGTCAGACTCAATGATCTACTGAGGTTCCTTCCGACCCTGAAAATCTATCATAGGTTCAGGCACACAACTGTGTACCTGAATGAACACACACCAGAAATCTATCAAAGACAAAAATACCCTATTTTCTGTGGGTGCACACTCCTCACAAGACAGCCACTCTCTCCCAGTCTCTCAGTTCTAATCCTCAAAGAGAATTTACAGAACACCTTTCGTAGACGAGCCTATGAACATGATTTCATAAATCTACTGAATACAAAAAATCATGGACTAGATATGGACATTGAACTTCATAGATTTCATAGACATCAGGGCTGGAAGGGACCTCGGAAGATCGAGTCCAGCCCCCCCGCCCAAAGGGCAGGAAGTCAGCTGGGGTCATAGGATCCCAGCAAGATAAGCATCCAGTTTCATCTTGAAGGTGTTCAATGAAGGCGTCTGAACCACCTCTGGTGGCAGGCTGTTCCAGACCTTGGGGGCTCGGACAGTAAAGAAGTTCTTCCTTATGTCCAGCCTGAAATGATCTTGAAGTAGTTTGTGACCATTCGACCTCATCATCCCTTGGGGCGCTCTGGTGAACAAACGTTCCCCCAGATGCTGGTGGTCACCCCTGATAAACTTGTAGGTGGCCATCCTAAACTTGTAGGTGGCCATCCTACAAGTTTATGGCACACTATAATCTGCCTGCCATTTGATAACCCCACGTAACTTGTCTGCATGTTACCAGCTACATTCTAGCACCAATTCAACATTCCCCCTGTCTCACACCTATTATCCCCATTCCCTCAGATCCTCACTGCCAGGTATTTGCATTTTCACAGACCTGCATTTTGCATATTGGCTTCTATTCTACCCAGGACAGTACACATTACACCAGCAACCTCTCCCTATGCCTGAAGAAGGGTGTTTGTGCCCGAAAGCTTGCAAAGAAAATTTTTCCAACTATACAGTTGGTCTAATAAAAGATATCACATCTATCCAAAGAACCTTGTTTGCCTATAACCATGGTAACACAAACAAAGTAATTGAAACCTCTTACCATAAAGAATAACACTCAGTAGGAAGAGTAAAACCTAACTGATATAACCTCTGAAGCTCATCCTAGTTAAACAATGCTAAACAATGAACGTAGAATCTTATAAATTCTCCACTTAGCTCGAAAGGGGGTATCAATACCTTTCATTAAGATACACCAAAAAGATAGATGTCATCAATGACTGCGTATCTGATTATGAGTCTGAGGAGGATTGGGGTAGAGCAGAGGATGACAGGAAATGAAAAGACTAGCTGAACCACCAGCAAGAACTCAGAGATCCTACACATCCTCCCAGGCACAAGTATGTTTTTGGTACTCCCATTGCCTGATCTGAATACTAGTTAAACTTATGTTAACTATAAAGTGATCCTCTTGAAAAGAGACAGGTGCGCTCTCTCAGTTCCAGGGCACTGTTGGACAAAGTAAGCTTCCTTTGTTTTAATTTGGGGGAGGGAGGGAAGGCTTCCCTTCATGTAGCTGCTTTTGCAGGCCCCTTTACAAGTTTACTTCAGAGCAACTAAAGCACAGATGCTATAGATATTGCATTTGCCTCACTTTTTTTTAAGATAGTGAAATGCTTTAAATAGGCAACTCTTGTTAAGCTGCCTTTGCTCCTGTATCAAATAGGGAACATTGAAAAGGCTTCTCCACAGATTTAGAAGACCAGCACTGCTACAAGTGAGTGGTAGAGTAGAAGCCCCAATGAGAACATCACCCCTTGGTAAAATGCTCTAACCGCCAAGTAGTCTGGTCCCATGCAGTCTATGCTCATCTGATAGTGAACTGAAATCAAAGAGAATAAGCGTCTTGTCCAAGGTCACACAAAAAATCCCTAGATGAAGTGGAAGTGAACCGTGGTCTTATTCTAGTATCCTTCTTCTACCTATCACTTTGTGCTCTGGCCACATCCCCCCACCTCTTCAAGGAATCAACAACTCCCCGATGAAAACAGAGGTCTTGGAAGGAATTAAGCCATGGCAAAGCTGAGCCATACACTTCTGCCCCTAGATATGAGAGGGCAAGCAGTGTACACAAGGTATCCTCCCAGAAACCTTGACAGCACAGCTCAGCTTCAAAGTCAGAGACATGTCAGATTGAAGCAGCTCTCACCCACCTGCTCTGGTCTTCAATCTTCAGAAATGGAGGCTTCAATTTTCCCACTGGAAGAACAATTCCACAGTTAGCAGCTTCCTGGACGTGCCCCAAACACCTTCATTCAGTCCCTGCTTACAAAGAAAGGGGCTCTAGAACCAAAGGGCTGTCCACCTCTGCATTGACTAGATTTGCTCTAAGAGATATGAGCACATATGATAAAAATTTCTCTTTCTTTAATAAGCTATCCTTGATGAGTACATGGCCAAGATGTTCCAGGACTTGCTGAAAGTCGCATTTTAGCAGCTATACCTGGTCTGTGACCAGCTGACCTGCACATTGAATATGTTGGTCAAAGTTTTAAACAGTGACAAACTCTTTCAGTTAGTGTTATTCTGCAGCTGAAAAGTTGAGGCAACTATTCATCCCCTCTCCTGACAAAAGTTTAGTGTCTAGCATCAATGATCAGCTTTTCCTCCTGCTTCTGAAAATCCTCCAGCCATCCTGAGTCATTTGTTACTAGGAAACTCTTGACCCAGCCCCATGACAAGGACAACCAAATCCCTCTGTAGCTCTCAGCTTGAACATCTCAGACACAACAGTAATAGTCATGGACCTCCAACCTCTCCCAGGTACATGGCAACCATTTCAAGCTAGCCTTGAGGGGACAAGTCTGTCCTGGCTTACAGGCAACTCCACTAGTTTCAAACAATGTCTCTCCAGCAATAGATTACCTCATTCAATTTCTCACCATACCACCACGCCTTGCTACAGACTCAAATGCCGGTTTATGCCTGCTCATCAACACAGACCACATCATCACTATACCAAATGCCACAAATTATAACATCAAGGTTCATTCACCCACTCCTCCACCAAGATCATATATGCCATCGTGTGCTTACAGTGCCCCTCTATTATCTATATTGGCCAGACAAAGCAATGGATGCTGATTCAACATCAATTCCAAAAATGCATGGCAGAACACACTTTAACATCCCTGGGTATTTCACACTGACCTCAGAGTAGCTCTCCTCAGACAAAAGAGCTCAAAAAAACCCAGAACACACGCAACTGAATGTGAAACTGCAAAGCAAGTAGTCATCCAAAGATTGGACTGTATTAACCACGGTCTCAGCAGGGACCATGGTTTCTTATTCCGTTACCTCAAATAGCTGTTAATTCTGGCATCCCTCCAAGTGTTAACTGCTTTGTTCTTCTCAGTTTATCTAATCAATCCACTTATTACCACTCTTAGCAATAACCCTTCCCTTCCCACCCCCCATCCCTTTCCCTTCTACACATAAGCTTTTCTTTCTGCCAGTCCTTTCATAGCATCTGACACAGTAGGTCCTTGCCCACAAAAGCTAGTACCACTCTGAACCAGTAAGTCTCTTAATGGTGCGGACACATAACTAAACTGTTTCAAGAAGCTCACCAAGAGGAACTGGGTCATAATTGTGTTGGTTCAGAGGTGTCCGTACATATGCTGCCAAGAATTGAACGATCACCTTTTAGGCATTATAATGATGTCAAAGCCCCAGAGTTTCTCCAGGATTTCCCTAGCAGAGAAGGAAGAATCCAACTGACTGCCCCGTTGCTTCTGTGTTCTCAGGAAAGAGGGCGCTGCCCAAGGTCTCTGCTGCAGGCTCTAGCTTTAAAAAGATTCTCTGGGAAAACAGCTTCAATTTCAGTTCTAATTCCAATTCCCTCTTCCCCCTAGATCAGTAGATTTTATAGACATTAGGGCTGGAAGGGACCTTGCAAGATCACTGGGTCCAGCCCCCTGCCCAAGGGGCAGGAAGTCAGCTGTGGTCAGATCACCCCAGCAAGATAAGCATCCAAGCATTTCTCAAAAGGTATCCAGAGTAGGTGCCTGCACCATTTCTGCAGGGAGAGACTGAGTCAAAAGGAGACTAAGTCATAGGAGACTGAGTCAAAAGCTTTTTTGAAATCTAAATATATGACATCAACCTCTTCTCCTTTATCCAGGTGATGTGTCACCTGGTCATAGAAGGAAATGGAAGTTGGTCAGGCAAGACCTACCTGCAACAATGCCACGTTGGCTCTCCCTCAGAATGTTGCCTTCCATTAGCCTGTTTTTGATGGTTTCTTCGATGATTTTTTCCCCCAAGATCTTTCCAGGGATTGAGGTCAAACTGATTGGTCTGTAGTTCCCTGGATTTTCCTTCCTTCCTTCGCATCATATTGGTCCTCTTCCAATCTTCAGGAACCTCTCCCAAGCACCAGGAGTTCTCAAATATCCTTGCCATTGGTTGTGCTATGATGTCAGCCAACCCTTTTAGCACTCTTGGGTGCAGCATTCCATCCAGGCCAGCTGACTTGCGGATGTCCAGCCTCTCAAACTGTTCCCTCACAAGATCTTTACCAATTATAGGTGTATGATTACCCTTACCCTGGGAATCCCAAGTCCTGTCAGGAAGGGTGATCCCCCTGGGCTGGTAGAAAACCAACGCAAAGTAATCATTGAGAAGATTTAGCTTTTTCCTGGGTGTCAGTTGTTAGCTACCCCATTTGGTTCAGCAAGGGTCTAATGTTGCCTTTGGGGTTTTTTTCCAACTTCCCATGTATTTAAAACAGGACTTTTTATTGTTTTTGATTCCCGTAGCCAGTTTGAGTTCAGTTTCAGCCTTGGCTTTTCTGGTCCTCCCTACAGGTGCAGGACATTGCTGCGTAATCCTCCTTAGCGGTAGTTCCCGACTTCTATCCCTTATAAGCTTCTTTTCAGATTCAAGAGTTCCACAAGTTCCCTACTGAGCCAAGGGGGTCTCCCCGTCTTTTTCCTTCAGGCCAGAATGGACTTCCCTTGTGCTTTTAGGATGATGTCCTTAAGGAGCAACCACTTACTGTGGACTCTCCTCCCTGTCAGATCATGGTCCCTCAGGGTCTCAACAACCAACCACCTGAGCTTGTGAAAGTCAGAGAGTTGTGAAACCTCCTGAGAAACCTCCTGTGAAAGTCAGTAAGTGGAGGCGTGTACCTTTAAAATACCTGTCAATTGCTGGGAGAGTGAGAACTAAGTCACTGCACAATGGGCACTCCATACCACAGAATAGCTGTCAGTTCCATGCTGGTCAATGAGAATTGGTCCATTAACTACTGTTTCTGCCCATTAATTACTAATGGTTTCTCTGCGCCCTCCCCACCCACCTAAGCAGGAGCAGTACTAGAGTAGCTAGTTGCCCTGCAGAAGTTGGGGCAAAGAGGATGAGGGGCCTCGAGGATGGACCAGTCACAGAAATCTTTGTGTCTGCACGTAACAGAGGACAGATTCAAAATAATACCCGATTATCCCAAGTAAACTTTGGTTTAAACCTGGAACATTTCCTTACTAAATAAACTGCATTTATAACAGTCTAAGTCAGGGGCGGGCAATTATTTTGGGCGGAGGGCCGCTTACTGAGTTTTGGCAAGCCATCGAGGGCCGCATGACAGACAGCCAGGGGCAGACAAATATTAATTTTCTAAATTTGGCGGGGGGGGCCCCCCACGGACTGGATAGAATGGCCTGGCGGGCCGCATTCAGCCCCCGGGCTGCACTTTGCCCACCCCTGGTCCAAGTGTTATGCCCACCCCTGGTCCAAGTGCCCACACCCTGAGATGTCACCCTGCTAACCTTCAAACTTGGCTAACCACCTTTGACCATTTGTAAAGGAGTAAGAGGCAGGATCTCCATTTTCTCCCTTTAAATGTTCCTCTCTCTGCCAGAGTATTATTTGAGACTTTCAATTATGCAGCCAACAGTGGATTAAGAAAATGTATTGCCTGTAGCAGTTCTTGCCAGTACTCAATGCCCTGGCTGTACTGTACTATAACTTCATTTTATGAGTTCCTGAAATCAAAAAGCATAAAGCCACATCTCAACTATACACCCTCAAAGCACCACCCACCCCTCAGAGTACAGCAAGAAATCCAGTAAAATAGTGTTGGAATATTCAACAAAAGCAGCTTCGTTTTGTAGAAATTTTAATTTGGGTTTCAAATGCAGATTCCCAACCAGCTTTACATATAGTAAAGCCAAGAACCAAGCATCTGTACTAACCTTTAGGAACTCTTGGCCCAAATGCAAGACTTGTTACCTAGATAAAGGGAGAAAAGAGACAGTCAGACACTGATGGCATACGCAACTCCGATTCCAAAGCAATGAGAAAAGAGAATGCAGCTCACAGCATCCTCGTTCACTGGGAACTCCAGGGTTGCTGCACCACAAATGAGATTTTTTTAGTTTGCAGTGTTTCGAACTTATCCTGCAGCATCTGAATAAGGCCAAGATCAGATCAGCAAACAGATTCCTTGAAACAAGGTTAACCAAGCTGCCCCTTTCAGTGTAGTGTCACCCCTACCTTTCACCCATTTCAAACACCATGAGAAACAGGATTAATCTAAAAGCCTGGCATATTGACCCCGTACTTCATCTTCAGCTCTGAAGTAAACGTTCACACTGAAGCACTTACCTACTATAACCCTTAAGTCATTGAGTTACTGCTTTCCAAGATAAAATGTCATGCCCTGGAGGTATTAACCTCATTTTCTTAAGTTCCCAAACCTATTCCCTTGCATTTAACTGTGTTAAAGCACATTCTCTTGGACTGTGACCATTTCAAGTCAGATCACTCTAACATTACACCCATTCTCATTACTCAATCTTTGTACAATTTTGAACCTTATCAGGTTTTATACACAGTCTTCTAGATCACAACAGACACTGAAGTGCATTGGAATAAGAACTAATTCATGGGGAATAGTTTACTCATTGACATGCAGTGTTGAGAGAAATCAATGATCCATTCTGTTGTGAAAGACTTGTTCCCTAACTCTTCAAGGAGCTGAAGTGAAAAGTACACCCATTTCTATTCCTGGTACCAAGAAGACCCCAACTTGGGCCAGGTTTACATCAGTTACCTCCATCTTCTGACTGGATTTCCTTGCTCCTGACATGGTGAGCAGCAGTTGCTGAATGTAGGCCATCATTTCTGTGCAGGGTAGGGTGTTAAAGAGCCAAGCCCAAGCAAAATAAAGGAAACAGTTCCTCCTTGCCTCCAGTGAGTAGAGTATTAAATATAACAGCCTATCTAGACATGGGGTGTCAAACATACAGCCTGCAGGTCAGATCTGATCCATGGAGCCCTAAAATTCAGCCTGCAGGACCTTGGATTGATCCTGCACCACTGCATGTAATGTGGGGAGCCAGTTTGGCACACTGGCTGGACCTGCAGGCGCCACACAGTGCAGGGGAGCAAGCCAAGGCACTTGCTACATGCAGCACCCATGCTGGACTGGCCCTGAGCACTGGCTCCAGAGCCAGGCCATACCATACCAGAGTTAGCATGCAAGCCTGATCTGGCAGGGTGCCACATGTAGCCCACATCCTGTCCAAGGCCCCTGAACCACATGCAGCATGTTCAGCCAGTGTAGCCCCGCTTGCTACATGCAGCACATGCTGGCCGTGTTTCAGGGCTCGCTCTGTGCACAGAATAGCAGGACTACAGGGCTGGATAACTTTGACCCCCCCCAATCTACACCATGAAGAGTAAGGCTGCATAGCCCTAGCCTGCCATCTTCTGGCAAAATTGCAACATTGCACATTTTCCTTCAGCCAGGGAGAGAAAACCAAGAACTAAGGTCTGGGTGGGAGCAAAGTAGCATGACAATGGGTAGGTAAGCAGGAAACAAATTCAAAGCACTGCTAAAGTGGGGGGAAATACAAGAAAGAAGCTGGGGGGGGGGGGGGGGGGGGGGGTGTCGCGGA